GAGACATTTTTGTCGATGAAGTCAACTCGCATTAGTGGAATGCATGACAGGCACTAACGCAAGGCGACAAGGGGCCGGCGCGGCGTCTGAGACGACGAACTGACGCCCAACGCCCGTCGCTCTCTATACATCACTAATATTATCAACTTTTCCATATGACTACTTATTTGGCTTTAACAGCTTTTCATGACTCATTATAATATCATTCGCAATATATCTGAAATGGATTTAATAAATCAATCTTATCAATATTTCAATCAATCTTAGAGTTCCATCAGTTTAATGAGCTACGTTTAACCATTCCTTAGTGTTCTTGGATAACCTAACTTGAGTTTTGGTCCGTTGAAAATTAGTTAAACCTAAAACTAATTAATCACTAGGTAATAATAAAATCGATAGAAACTTCAGAAACCCAGCACAAGACCGCTATTTTCAGTTTAAGTGTAGAGTTAAGTTTGATGTCTGAATGCAAAATTGGTACTGTAATTTAAACAGTGGTAGAGTCCGCTTTAACATCTTCGCACGAATGGGCAGGCTCGCTCGTAATACCACGACCACACAGAAAAAACCGTGAAGTGGAAGCAATTCCGCGTTTCGTCTGATGAGTGTGGTGCCGGAGGAATAATTTTAGTCCCTTTCCCTTTCCACCCTTTAAGAGGAAAGGATGGGAAGGAAAAGTGGATTTGACGGTGGAGGAGACGCATGGGAAGGGGAAATTTATTCTTAATCTGTGTCTCCTCCTCCGTCAATTAAGGGTAGGCAACGCATCTGCAATTGCGGATTGCGTCTATGGGCATCATCATCATCATATGGGATTCAGGTGGCCGCTTGCTCGTTTGCCACCTTATATTATGTAAAAAAAAAACTGTAGTTCTCAGTTTTGCCTAGACAACCTATGTGCAGTCCTGTACTATTGAAACTAAAGGATATCTGACTTTAAGATCTAGTTGTGATAAGGACATCAATTTAATGAATACATTCATGTCCTCATTTTAAGATAATTGGGTTCCAGGAGAAGACGTGTCTGTTATTGACGCGGGATGTGTGAGCGTGATATCGAAACGTGGGGTTACGTTCTATTAATATATCATCGTTATTAGGATTTTAATGTTCGCTTTGTTTTTCGTCTTGACAAGGTTGATGGTTCAATGCTACTCACCGTACAGGGTTGGTACTAGTTAATACAGAATTTTAAATCGAATTAAAATGTTCTTCTTTGGTATTTTAGAAAGTTGACCATCTTGTTTATCGCGATGAGTATGAATTGTCAAAAAAAATAGTGTATGTTATATAGAAAATAGCAAGAATAGAAGGAGTCAAGAGAAAAGTGTATAAAACATATTTATTGAGAATGGTAGACAAATCTATTGTCTTTGGAGAGCTATGGTGCTTGACTAGAAAATAAACTTTTAAACTAACAATATTGTATTCGTCGTAAAGTGTGTCGCTCCCGGTCTCGTCTGTTAAATTTGGCTCTTCTTTTTTTGTCTCGTCTGTCAACGGGTAGTGTCGAACGCGAGAGGCCGTAACGTAAATAAGTGTAAGCCTGTACAAATTGCGAAGCTGACAATCACAATGGCATGTATTCGATTTAACGCTTTTTATTCTTGAAGTTTTAAACAATACAACATTTTTGGCATTGAGTGTACAGTGAATTTCAAGCATTTTGATTTCTGATAAAATGTGCAAAATATAAAAAAAACCTCTGAATTTTGTCTATTAGTTAAAAAAATAGATATTTAATATCTATAGATTGGAGTTTAAGCACATCTCAACGACAAATAAAATAGTTGATGTCAGTGCAAAAATTCAATATTGTTCGACATTGTAATATCAAAATTTATTAAACAATGATATAACCAGCTCAAAAATTTCATCAACCTAAATCTGGATTACATAAATAAACAGTTCACTATTGTTTGCCGATAAAAATAGATAGAGCGGTGTACGTGACGAATCTAAACTAGTCGGGATATTGCTGGGATAATCCGTTTTACAATTAAAATCTATATATCGTTAGTTTGTGGGTCGGATCATCCAATAGAAAATTTAGCTTAATAAAAAAGTAGCACGCAATGTCAGAACTGAAGTCGAACTGTATTTTTACCTTTCTTATTGTCAGCGAGGTCTAATGGCTTCGATTTATCATCGTTAAGTCAGTTATAGGATTGTTTAGTCTCTCACTAAATGATACATCCGCGAAGTGAGCAAAGAAGGACCGAAGTATCGAAGCACCCATGAAAGACCTACAAGAACATAAAGTACGATGAATAATCAGACAAGTTTAGTTTGGTGTTATTTAATGATCAATATCTTATTATAATAGGTACAACATGTAATGTCTGTTTTTCTGTTGAAAACAGTTCTGTTAAAATTAATCACCCGAGAAGATATATCGGTTAACATTAATAAAAGATAGTAATAACAAACATCTTGATCTGGCGCACATATTGACTGATATGTGGGCAGTGCAGCAGACGCTTGAGCTTGTTTTGCTAGCAAATGGTTTGTCTGCCAATCAATACCATTGTCCTGTCAGATGTGATTGATATCCTCGTTAATCCATTTCAATTACTTAGATCAGTTAAAACATGTTTAACACTGCTGAGGCCCTACAAAATTTGAATGCCATCTCCCGACAAATCACTTTATCTTCTTAACGTTTCCTTATTCAAATAGGGCGAGAATAACTTCCACTTTACCCGTTTCTTCTGTTTATTGCACAGGTCGACTAAGCCATACGAATGTCTACTAATGCTGTTATGAACTCTACCTCTAAATATATTATATTTATACATATATATAAATAAATTTGATATATGTATAAATATAATAAAATTGAAGTGAAAGGAAAAATTCCAGATTTCGGGAAGATGACGTATTTGCGTTGCTGATAACGAAAATCGCATTTAATACATTTTTGCCTATCTGTCCGCAAGACGCGTTGTTTCCGCGTAACCTCCGAAAAGGCTGGGCCGATTTAAAAAGGACTTTCACTGGAGGGTAGCTGACATGGATAAGCATATTATAGGCTACGTTTTTTAAATTCTATGCTGTGAAAATGACGTAATGGGTAGTCCAAATTTGCGCTACCGAAGTTTGCGGGCGAAAGCACGTAAAATATAAATATAAACAAAATTTTTACAAAAATAAAGCTTCCAATCAGTGTCAAAGTGATATCGACAAGGTATTGCCTAATCAGATGTTTCCATCAGGCGATACGGTCGTCACTGATAATGTACCTGTACCTTTCAATATGTAACCCTCCCAACATTGATATACACGCTCCATTTGTTTAAGCTTTGTAGTGGATTTACTCTGTAAAACATTCGTATACTAGTACTAGTACTAGTACTATATCATTTTCAGACTTTCGAAAAAAAAAATAAAAAAGCTGTATTGTGTGAGTGAAAATAGATTACTTGGGGTTGGTAGATTACTGAATGGCGGAAGTTGAAAAAAATACTTACTAACTATTTGACACTAATTTACACCAAGGTTAATGCTGGCTTGCAGAAAATGTTTTTTTTTTAACCAAAAACGGTTATGATATACTGATTTTAAAGATAATTGCGCTTCTTGTCCTTGTGGAATTAAAAAGAAAAATTAAGCTTTCTTATTCTTCTAGACTATCCCCTACATAATATTGAAGAACGCATAGATAATTACTTTATATGTTTTAAGTTTAAGTAGTCTTACTATTTTTTTTTAAATTCCACTAGAAAGTTCCGGGTAATGGTTATATCCGTTCCGGGTAATGGTTGTAATTTCACTAATTATCTTTGATACCAAGAATAATGTTCTAGTTTAGTGTTTCGGTAGTGGAAACAATCGGTGAAAACATAAAATTTTAGGAACGTGTTGACGTGAATACAATCAATTATATGAATACTTACTGTCTGTTTGTGTTGTAAAATATAAAATTAAAGAGTTTCTTCGAATATTGGTAGAACCGCTTGTTCTATTTTTAAAACATTCTATTCTTTAAATAAATTATCTACGGCTATAAAAATTTTGACTTTCTTTGCCTTTGAATAAAAAAAGTTTTACAAAAGGAATTCGCATTATGAAGTATAATTTATAGTTATTGCAAGTATACCAATCTACTGCATTTTAACACAAGCAATATTTTTTTATTTTATTTTTTTATCGTATCTTTTATTGTTTTTCACAAGTATCATAAATCTGTTGTTCTGTATGCATTTCTAAATGATTTAGTTGATTATTATGAAAATAAAAAAAGTAGACAATTATTTCACGCTACTGTTACTGTCTAACTTATTTAATCCTAACTGTCGCCAGCGACTCCGTCCTTTTGGCATTAAATAAAACAAAAGTAGTAGTCTTCGTGTTCTTCCGGACTATGTTCTGCAGTTTATTCTACAAACTCTAACAAACATCCATCCATCCAAACTTATGCAATTATAACATTAGTAAAATAAAATGCCGGTTATTGACTATAGACAGACAAAGTTATAACCGGTGGGCATTAGTCAAACTTAATTATGATCAAATTACTTCTTATACTGTAACTGGCTTGTCATTTTTTTTCTATTATATCATCGTTTATTCATATGTAGGTTTTATACATTTTCTGATAGAACAAACCTTGATACCAGCGCTTTTGTAGAAATAGTTCTACCTTATGTGATCAGCAACCGATAAAAAATGATTTGATACGCTTTTCCCCAGATAAAACAACTTTCTAGTGGCAAATAGATCAGAATCTACTGCACTTACTACCTATTGGAATAACTTTCTCCACATGATTTATGTTTTTTTTTTAATTTGAGTTAATTTAATTAAACTCATTTAAGATAGTCTAAGCTAGAAGGGTCTCAAACTAGTCGATGCTATCACCAGACGATGGTACATGAGTTAAGACGGTCTTAATTAGTTTAAACTTATTGCATCGAAACCTTTTGTCAGTTTGCATTATGATTAAGTACACAATAAAACAGATGGCAACCCTATTTAAATATTAATGAATGACATCTGACCTGTTGATCAAACCGAAGCGTTTCGGGTTCTCGGGAACTGTTGAGATGCTATCATGAATATTTAATAACTTCATGCATTTTTCACAGCGAGGTTTAATAGCACATTATAACACAAACTATTATTACATTAACACATTTGATATCGTGTATTTATTAATAAAATGTTATAGAACTGTTGGAACATAGAATTTAGGATAATTAGTTACTCGATTTTCGCGGTATTCGCAGAGAAGGAATAATGAAGACGCGCGCTCGGGACGAACGAGCCGCCCAACTGACGGGCGGGCGGGAACAAAAACTCTCACGTGGCCCGGCTCGCCAGGGCTGCGCAAACCCGCCTGTTGCCGGGCCTTAACTGCGTCTGGTATGCTTTCACTGGATACAACTCACGCGTATTTATTTTATGATCGTTGTTTTATATTATTGAATCGCGCAACTTACTAGTACATTAAATTTATGTTTTCATGGATATATGTCAATTTTATTGTTAACAAGCGAATGACCTAAAAATAAAAATAAATCCTATCTTTGTTTGGTCTGGAGTGGGGGTATCTTTTAAAGATACAACTCTTTGGGGTAGGTAGGGTTATGTGCAATTTGAACTATTAAACCCCCTTGGTGGCAATCCAAATAGCAGAGGGTTCCGGGATCTCTAAGGAACACACAGGAACCCTAGCCACATAAACTTCCCAGAAGAGACAGAACTCTCCCTGTGGCTCTACATTGTTATGTTATCATAGGACCACTCTATATCACCGTCTCCCCAGGATCGTTTTGATAAGCGATCTTGGCCCCCAATCACGACCCTAATAACCCTCGCACAGGGATGCCTTAACAGCCTTTTTTACGTCACTTTGTAATAGATGCAAAAGAGTTAGTTATACGTCATTCGCAGTACGGCTAGGTTTTTTAAATTATTGATCAAACTATTCGAAAGACATTAATTATATAGTAATGATATCGAGATATTGCAATCGGAAATACATTAATCAATTCACAAATACTCGATAAAAATATAATTGGTCGAAAAGTATTTCGAAGATTTTTAAATTTAAAAAGAAAGAATTGTTCTATTCGAATATCTGTCAGTTAAAATTACATTTTGTAAGAAACAACACCCATTGTTATAATATAGAGATTACTTATAACATAGATTATTGATTATTTTTATAATAGGCTTATCTTTTATTTTATAATAAATAAAATAAGAGGACAGTCAAGATGATGTAAGTACTTTTTTTATTATTTTTGAAATAAGAATTATTGCGTAAACTGGTAGCGTTTTGGATGAAGCTCTTATCCACTTCTAGATTTTATAGCTTTGCCGATTTCTCTATGACGTCACACGTTAACTGTACTGAGCAAACGAGCGCGGTCCTTAGTGGGAAAAGGAGCTATCGGCAAACCCGAGAGCAGCCATTAGTTATAGAGATTATTTTCATCGAGGCAATGACTAGCGGATTAGGGATAACTTCTAAGTAGCCTTTGCTGCAATGGAAACACAAATATTTACATTGCTCCATTCTATCCAAGCGCGTGTCAGTGTAAACGCACCCTAATGACTTGACTCTTTAGCTTTGGATCACCGGAAGAACCGCGTATGTCGGGGAAGGAAAAATTAAAAATTTTCGTGGGTGTGCATTGGAGAGGAGTGTGCTGCGTGTTTATTCCTCTATTTTCTCTCCTGATAATATTACCACCGCCAACTCTGGTAAGCAATTTTTAAAAATAAAACTAAGAAATCGTCAGAAATTTTTTTGGGCGGTAAAATGTATTATTTTTCTGTCATCATTGTATACTCTACTCATTATATAAATGTGGCAGCAAAAAGCACATCGCTTACAAAGTTATAAGGCCTTTTTTTGTTTTTTTAAAGCCTCATCACTGGTGTGCATTCTGCCTGGTTATTATGGCCTGCTTCTGGGTAACTGAGTGTATTCCCTTGCCGGTGACGTCATTCCTGCCAGTCATATTATTTCCTTTAACTGGAGTTAATAGCACAAGTGCAACTTGTGCAGCGTATATCAGTGTAAGTATATTTTAACATAAGTCCTTTCCTAAGTTTCAACATTATGATGAAAACTTAATCGGTGTTTAAGAACAGTGTTCAAAGTCGAAATAGTTTATATACCTTTGGTTATCTTCCTAAGCAATGTACCGTGCTGAATTCCGGTTACTTCTTAATAATGGTGATCTATGAACCCTTCCATAAATGTAAATATCTCCTTGTTACGTCTAATTGCTTTTGGTAGAATACCATACCATGCTAATTTTGTAATTTAGTGTGTTCACGTTTGTTTTATTTTATAGGACAGTCTAATGATGTTCCTGGGGAGTCTTATATTAGCCGCTTGTGTGGAGCAGTCTGGTCTTCACGTGCGTCTTGCTTACTTTGCGGTTAGGACCATTGGGTTCACTCATATGAGGTAACTAATAAATTTGTTTTATCAACTAACATATTTAGATGATTTGTGGAGCTGGAGAGTGTACGGCGCTACAGGGTTGTGATACAACCAATTAAAGTGACAGGAAAGAGAAGCGAAATTTTTATTTCGTAAGCTTTATTTCAAACGTGATTTAATGAGTGGTTCTTTGCAGGCTTCTTCTTTCAATGTCTCTTGTAACCATGTTTGTTTCGATGTGGATAACTAATACTGCTGCAGTAACGATGATGGTGCCTATTAACTTCGCTGTTTTAAAAGTTTTTGAAGAAGTAAGGACTTTCCTGTCTATTATTTTTAAAATTAACATGTCTCTCAATTATGAATTTGTATTCTAGAGTTTTGGTTTAATTTTCAGCAAAAATTGATGAAGATCTTTGAATATACTTCCGAGGGAGAAAGAGTTGCATCTGACCTAACTACTTGCTATTTCTGTGCCACTACTTACTCAGCGACAATAGGTTAGCGTTTGTTTAAAATAATAACTTTTATACGAACGATCTAGGGTAAACTACGCGAGCTGAATCATACATTAAAATCTTCCACACCTACATTTAGATAATCAAAATCAAAATGCATGTATACTATATCCATGAAAACCTTTGAAGGTTGAAAATTATCTTTACAATAGTTATCAATGTTTGTGGGAAAGTACCGTGTTCATTTAATACGTAATCAGAATTTTTCAATATCCCACAGGTGGTATTGGCACTCTAGTTGGTACCGCAACTAATTTAGTTATGAAAGGACTTCTAGTAAAGTAAGAGATTTCTTTTATTGAATTAAACGTCACCTAGTATTATTTCACAAGTTTAAGCAGATAAAATGTAGTAAAACGTGTAGGTACTCCATCTCTAAATGCTGAGTATTCAATTACTACTTCATAATAAACAATTCCTAAGTTCTCCCGGATTAGAATGAAAAGTAAATATAGTTTTATGTTACAGAGCGTACCCAAAAGTGCCTGAATATTTATCATTTCCTAAATTCTCTGCATTTACCGTTCCGATGATGATTTTTTTGGAGGCTGCCACGTTTTTCTCCATGGTCATATTGTTTTTAGGTTGGTTGAGGTGAGAAAGTTGTTAAGGGTTAAGTCATTTTTTTTAATAAGAAATCCTTTATAACGATAGACATTCAATTTCAGACCAAACAGCGCCGCCGCAAAACAAGCTCTTGTAACTCCTCAAGGTCAAGCGGCTGCGAAGGCAGCTGTTGACGCTAACTGGGACAAGTTGGGAAGCATAACATTTTGGGAATATGTAAGCTAAAGTCTAAAATTGTTTTGATTATAAATAAATCATCACTGTTTCAATTCGAGTTGTCAAATTTAGTGCGCCGCTCTGTGTCCATGTATTGGCATTTTATAAAATCACGAGTATAATAAGCTCCATCTTTTGTTATAAAATAAACTAAACAGTCATAAGATGAAATAAAAAAAAACAAAAATATTATTTAATGACTCTATTAACAATTTTAATAACAATTATAGTGACATGTGGTTTAGAGACTGTCCACAGATAGCGTAAGTGAGGATTATGTGAAGATCTCTCAAGTGATGTGTCAACTATGCTTACTCCATATGTTGTTTTTTTAAATCTCTTTGGCTCCACCAGTGTTAAAATTGTATATGGATTTAATATTTTTGGTTTCAGATGGTTATTCTTTTGTTTGGTGGCTCGATGATTTTTTTCTTTTGCCGCTCTCCTCAAATGTTCCTAGGATGGGGTGATATTTTAGAAGAGACATTTCATAGACCGGCCAAGTTGTAAGTTTTATTCCAACGAATTAAACTACTGATTTCCTATATTTATTTACTAAATTTGCTAGTAATAAGTATTTAAAAAATGTTTTTATGTTTCAGCATAAGAGATTCGGCCTTAGCAGGTTTAGTAGGATTTTTAATGTTTGTATCTCCATCAAACTTGTCGTTCTTCAAAAATTTTACAGTAAAATGTAAGTAAAACAAATGATTTATTTATTTATTTCATATTACATCAATAGTGATAATTACACGTCATTATTATTGTCTATCAAATATAGATTAAGAATAAAATTAGGGAAAAACTGAAAAAGAAAATCAGTTCCGTATTTTTAATTTTTTAGATTATGAACAACTACCTAAAGTACGAGCTTCCTCTGTTCTTGACTGGAAAAAAATGGATGCTTCTTTACCATACAGCTTTATGTTTCTTCTGGGTAAGTTGGCTTTTGTAATTAATACAATCAATATTTTATGTTTAAGGTGTGAGATATTCTTCACGTTAGCGTGGCAAGATATATTTATTTAAACTGTCATTTTTAAAACTAATAAATAGAGATAAATACAGCAAAAACAACAGGCGAAAGGAGCTTGTTACATTCTTTAAACATCTTAATTCTGTCTGTAGGAGGTGGCTTTGCACTCTCTGACGCAGCTAAGAAAAGTGGTTTGAATCAAAAAATTGGAGAGTCGATGGCCATGCTGAAAGTGTGCCCCAATGCTGTTGTTCTTTTCCTTATTATTTTGGCAGTTACGTTTGTTACGAATTTTGCTTCAAATGTTGCGGTCTGCAATGTTTTCGTACCACTCGCAATGGAGCTAGTGAGTATTAAAAATAGTTTTTAAATTTAATACTAAAAGTTTTTATATTTTTTAATAACGTTTGCAGAGCAAGAAAAACGTACAACTTTAAAACTTTTACTTGTGAATTATGGTGGATGCAATGGTGGTTTTTTAAAACTATGCATAGATTACATTGCATTTTATTATTTTGTACAGGCTAAACAAATTCACCGAAATCCGATGTGGTACAATCTTGCGGGAGGTATTTCCGCTTCTTACTGTTTTATGCTGCCCGTGGGCACGCCTGGTAATTTAGTCGTGCAAAGTGCTGCAAGTATACCCACTTCGAAAATGGTATTGGTTTTATAATTACATCGACATAGTATAAAATAGTATACAGATTTAAATGTATTTCAAGCCTTTGTATGAGTAAACTGATCTCATCTTTGCTTTGATAAGTATTTCTTTTAACTTTAGTATTTTTGCTTCACAGATGGTCGCTGGCGCTGTGCCTACAGTGGCTACTATTCTCCTGACATGGTTTTTCCTTTTCTTTTGGGCACCGGTGGTATGGCCGGACTTAACAACATTGCCACCATGGGCTTAAGAAATATATTTATAACTTCAAGCCCAGACAAATTACTCCACACGTTTTTAAGGCACAATAATTTGCATAGTGCTGTAAATTGGCAGGGAATTTCGGAATAACATATGTAAATACAGAAATGCCCCCATTGATCCCTCATTTCGAAGTTCTTTCAGTTCCTCTGTTGTATTACGGATGTTCGTGGGCGTCGTAATTTTTGATGTTGCGGTCTAAGATTTTTTACCAAACTTAACATTTTAGGATTCACATATTTTGCTAGCACATATTAGCATTGTCAATTATTACATAGTACACAAGGCTATAGACCTACAAAAATATCATGGCAGTTTTTCGACATTCACGGGGGAGCGCCTGTTAGTTTTTAGTTACCAGTAAGCAAAAAGGGGTTTAACGCTAAATACTGACAAAAGCTACTAGGTGTTAGATGTTACACAGCGAGTTGTCATGCAGTAGGATTTGTTATAAATGTATTTTTTTTAATATCTCTTGTTTTTTATTCACACTCCTTTTTACGAGGACTGTCGTTGTTGTCTATTTGGTTTTCGCTATTTTTAAGATTGAAGACAGCGGTGATGGGGATTCCGTAGTTAGGGATAGAATAGACGTTTTAGAGGAAGCTAAGCAAAAACTGTAATTTGAGCAACAATCGTTAGAAAATTTAAGAAAGGAAGTCTTTTTAATAGATATCTTTAACCTTGGCCCTACGAAGGGTCGTCAGTATGTACTGTACTCTTCCATACATCTCTAGCAGTAATCACATAAATTCATTCCCTTAACCATATCCTCTTTCCCACAATCAATCCATATTGTCTATGATTTTCCTTTACTTTTTACTTTTAGCCATTCACATTCAATCTCATTATATTTTCTTGTTCACATCTTCAAAATTCATAGTGTGAAAATGACGAGTCGGTATAATGAATTTTTTGTCATTGTCATAGGAGCTGTTGTAATGTAATGGTTTTTACAAAAAACATCTTATTTAAAAAAAAAATAAAGTTTTTATTACTTCACAACCATGGGGGCAACATATGTAAATCAGGCCAGATTAGCGGTGCCCAGAAGCAGACAAAAATCCAAGTCACAATAACCGTTGCCAGAGATGGTGCAAGGCCAGCTTTGATCTGTAAAATTAATGTTTAGGTTTTCACTCACGATAGTACTCGTATAGAGGACAGTACCTACAATCATATGCTCACGAGGGATAGACAGGGCAGTTTTATTTACACTCTCTGACTACTAGTTTGCATCATGTTAAGGTTAAATTGAATAATACCTGACTTCTTAATATTATAAATGCGAAAGTTTATGTGGATGGATGTTGGTTAGAATTAGTAGCTTAAACTGCTTAACGGACCTCGATGAAATTCGGCAAAGATCTAGACGATAGACGGAAGAACACTTGGGCTACAGACTTTTGTTTTTTAATTTCACGCGGCCTGATTCGCCGGCCGAAGCTAGTTTATTCAATGCCTTGGTATTATGGGTTTGATTATCAAAAGTACATTTATGAATTTACTAGCTTTTACCCGCGACTCCGTTCGTCTATGTGTTCTTCCAGACTGTCCTCTACATCTACACCAAATTTCATCCAAATCCTGTCAGTCGTTTAGGCTACAAACTCTAACAAACATCCATCAATCCATTTAAACTTTCGCATTTATAATATTATTATGATTTATGATAATACCGTTTATCTTTTACCATTTTAACAGTAGGTATATTGGCGGCACTCTGTACCACAAGATTTCCCGGCGTTCCGACAGGTAGCATGAAACAGAACGAAGATGTAAATCCGACTGCTATGTTGTACCAAAGTGGATTTACGTTTATTTCTTTAGCCTGAAATGAAGAAATCAGAGTAATAATTTAATTCTGTGTATTTTATTGTATAGACCGACAAGGATATTTGACCCGGTGGCATCAAACAAAATTATGACAGCTTATTAGACAGGGGAGCTTTCAATTTTTTAACCCTAACCAGGCCAGATATCTTTGTATTGTAAATTAAAAAAAACATTAAAAACAAATTTAATCTTACCAATTGCATGGCTATAGGTGTTATAACATTGCACACTGCGACATTTGAGGCAAAGTTTGTTACAAAAGTTGTGAATATTATTATTAAGAATATTATAAGAAAATTCGGTAACGAGCTCAAGTTTTTTAAAAGTTGTCCTATTTTCCCATTCAAATCCGAATATTCTTTTTTCGCAGCTTCGGAAAGGGCAAAACCTCCTCCTTTGGAAGAAAGAATAATAAAAATTAGATCGCAGAACTTATTTCATTCGTATTGTTTAAAAAAAAATTCTTACCCAAGAGGAACATGAAACTGTAAGGCATTATTTCATCCATTAAATGCCAATTAAGTACAGATGGTATTGATCCCGATGGCTGATTCGTAGTATCTGTAATAAAATTAAATCCTTTTAACCTTTACAAAGTACAAGACATCTTTAATATTGAAAAATATACCTTTAGTCTTAAAATATTCGATGAATTGTGTTGTAGATGGCACCACAAGCATTAAGAAACAGACGAGTGTGACTGCAGATGAATCCAACGCACTGAAACAAACTCTTACTTTTTAAATGACGGCTACGTGATTCTTGAACCAACGACCCATTCAACGTAGTTACATATTTTATGTTTTTTCGTGATCACCGCCTCATGATAGATGCAACTTTCTTCGATGTAAAAGTCCCATTATTTATATTACTCCACTAGCTTTCGCCCGCGTTCGCGTGGAAGTAGAAAAAACAAAAGTGCGTAGCCTATGTGTTCTTATAGACTATCCTCTACGTTTATGCCAAATTTCATCGAGATCCGTTCAGCCGTTTAGGCTACAAACTCTAACATCCATCCATCCATGTAAACTTTCACATTTATAATATTAGTAAGATTTATTGCAATTTGACCGGATATGTCTGTGTCCGGAGTGGTCTTGATATGTCTGGATGAAGAAGTTATTGTGTCTAAATATATATAAAAAATGTCTTTCAATCTATAATCTTTAAAGGTTTTATGTTTCAATTTCATTTATACAACTTACAATTTCCGGTCCGCTAAGTGAAAAATTTGTACAATCTGGTCTCCCCAGCCAAGAAAAATTTCAGGAGAACGACTAAAGAAAAGTAAAATGGCAAGACTAAATAAAATAATAACTATCTGAAAATAAGATGGTTTATGAATTAGTTATATTAAATGTTTTTTTTAAATCAATGACTAATATTAAAATAATGATATAATAATTTGTTATTACAATTTCCCAAAAAGTGATTCGTCCCAATTTCTTCCATTCTTCATCGACAGATTTTTTGGCAGCTTCCACGCCCTCTGGTGTAATTTTTGAACTCCTAAACGCAGCACTGTTGGGCCTTAACACAAAACTTTGGTAAAAACGAAAAAAAAACTCAATTATGATTATTCTTTAAGTTCATCTCTCTTACCTTAGAAATCCAAAATAAATAATCAGCATGTTTAAATACATTAAAATCTCTAATATTAACATCAATGGAATTGCAAATGCTGAAAATTTGGGGAAAGATAAATATTCAGGTGCATCTGGATACATCCTACAAAAGAATACAGCATTAAGTATTTATATCATAAAAATAAATACTAATTTAAGACGTGAAAAAGAAACAATATTACATATACGTACTTATTGAAAAGGCCTTTAAATACTAAATTGGTTGCTGTCCCAACTAATGTGCCAATTCCACCTGGATTAAGTAATAAATCATTAATTCCCAGAACAAGTAATATAAATATTTACTTCACTAAATATCGACACGCATCGAAAAGTCTAACATCTATTAGTAGACCACTAGTAATTGTTACTCCTTTTGTTTGATAGATTTTATTTTCTTACCAATAGTAGCAGAAAAAGTGGAAGCACAAAAGTAACACGTTGTTATATCTGATGCTATGTTGTCTCCATCTGGACCAATTTCATAGATTTTAAGTATATTTTCCTGGAAATATAAATTAAGATGTCTCTGTCAGCTCTGTCAGCCATTGTACGTTTTCATATCTGAGGGTTTATCAAGAATATTTGAGGCGAAATATTCGTAATAAGCCAACTATAACCAACAAATGTCATTAAAAAATTGAGGTAGATATGATCATAGTTCCTTTTACTCCTTCCTTTACTCGCAATTAAAATAGAAGACAGTTGATTTTTTTGTATCCAGTTACTTACTTTCTCAAAAACTTGTAGAAGAGCGAAATTAATAGGAACCATCATGGTAGCCGCCGCTGTGTTTGTGATCCACATCGATATGAACATTGTGATGAAAGACATCGCGAAGAGTAATCTAATAGATTTAATAGTTGAAATTAAAAATTGAAACTTTAATGTAGCTGACGTTGTATATAATAATCTTAACTGCTAGATTTCTGACATTGAATAATAGTGGCATATTACCTTAGAAAAGGCTAACTTTTTAGTTTCCAAATAAATATTTTATAGTTATTTTATAGTTTTTTATATATTCTTATCTGATAAATATATTTTGCTAAAAGCTGGCCTTTAATATTTACTACAAACGCAGTTTCCTGGTGGTAAAGCATTCCTTACTTGTAATGAGAATATCCTATAGTTCGTACAGCACAGAGCGCGAGTCGTTTGTGTAGCCCGGATTGTTCCACGGCATAGGCTAGAAACATGCTTCCCAAAAACATTATTATGGTATCCTAAAAAAATTAAAAGATCATTATTACTAAACACATGAAATAAAAAGTTATGTGTTTAAGGAAATCTAAGCTTACGTTAATATAACATTTGCAAGTCATTGTTGTATTCATAATTCCACTCATTGGAAATATTACTATAGGCATTATAGAGGTAACTGGCAGGGGAATACATTCTGTTACCCAGAATAACGCCATCAGCACCAAAGTGTACGCACACCATTGATATTTCTGAAAATATACTAATTTCGACTACAGGAGTACTGTAATTACTGAAACTTAAATGAATTAAATGAATGAATATTCAAAAATGATTAGTTTAATTGACTGGTAAACTTTGGGAAAAGGAAACACACCACCAAAACGGTCAATTAAGGAACTCAAGCGAAAAGTAACGTGAAATATATCGATGTAAGATATTGCTTTGTGCAAATTAAAAAAAAAACAAATCGAATGCCAAGATCATATTAAATTCGTTTCCGTTTCACTTTAAAGGTAGTGTGCAAGAGGCCTAAAGTCACAATAGAATGGACAAACTGGTGATTAATGAAAAAAAAGGTCATGAATGAATGACGTTTTAAATAAAATAAGAAACCTATGTGACTTACTTCTGTGGGAATCGTGAAGTGAACTGGTATCAAAATCAAAGGCACCAGGAAACAAAACAACCCACGCCAGTGATTAAAAAGAAATAATTTTATCTTCAGTTTTATAGTTACAATGTCGTTCTCATCTCTAAAATGTAAATGTTTTACTTTGATTTCTTGTAATTTGGCCTTAATACACTATCTCTATTGACAGTGTATATAACTAATAATCACTGAATGTAACTGATGTTTCCCTGTTCAATTTCAATTTTAATTAATGTTTGTGGGACTTTCTATAAAATTTAATTCTAATGAAGGGTCAGGTAAACGATTATGTTTTTTGTTTGTCAAATTATTTGATAGAATGAGACTTTGGATATCACAATTGTGTATGTAATAATTTACTTAATGTATATACTTATGTAATAAAGCAATTCTAATTTTTTTTTATTTCCCTTATTCAATTCAAAAAGTCAATTCTATAATCACTTACGATACATCAGAAGGGATGTTAGAAGGTGGTTCAGGAACATTAACTATAGGTTCCATTAAAAATAACTAATTAAGTTAAGTTAAGGTCTTCTCGTCAAAATTAGTTGTTGAATTCAATAGTTCAAATGGGATTTGATTTACTCGCTATGGCCATGAAATCGTTTTTTTTTATTTTTTTAATAATTACAGATGAGGATGAATCTATATGATGGTCTTAGTGTAGATTGAAACCTTGTTTTAGCAACTTTATCGTATTTAATTAAACTTTCTAACTCTAAGGTTTTATGTACAATTTGGAAATAACCAAGATATTCGAATCAGTGTAAAGTGAATTGAATAGACTGTACATTAGGTGTGAACTAAAATTACTTTTTTCTAGAAGTAAAACAAATATCAATTTGTACCAATAAATAAATTACTTCTTACTTTTATAAATGCAAAAGTTTAGATGGATGAATAGTTTTTTTGAAGTTTGTAGCCTAAATTGCTGAACGGATCTCGTTAAAATTTGGCATAGATGTAAAAGATAGTCTGGAATAACACATACTGTTGAGTTTTGTTTTTTTAATTCCCTGCGGGGTCGTTGCGGGTAAAAGCGTTATTAATAGTTTGGTGGTATAAAATAGTATTGTCCGTGTAAAGCTACCATACTAACTTCGCCATAAGCAAAGCTACTCTAACATCTTGAAGGATGAAAGAAAAAACCAAAACATAAGTTCTCAAATAACATTTATTATAAACATATATTTGGGAAACAAATTTTACTTCAATCAGAAATAAAACTAACAAACGAATAATTCCACGAACTTATACACAAACGTATTAACTAATATTCAATTCTATAACAAATTACATGACTTATTTTTATTCATGCAGGCGTTTCTTAATTCTTCTTAAATCCACTTATTATCAAGTACAAAATAATTAAAACATTTTCCATAATGAAGTTAATTGAAGTTATTAACCCGAACATTGTTACTAAATCTAGATATTTTAATAAACAATTAGATAAGATTAACTATATTTAAGATATCCAACTATAAACTCGTAGACAATATAAAATATAAATATAAATTTAAACATATTTTTGAAATTGCTTTGGAGGACGAAAACCCGGTGCGCCGACCCTACGGGAGTAGGATAAGGCAGGGGAGATGATGAAACTCGTAGACACAAATTTGGACGACCTGAAAGCTTTCCTAAACCTACATGATACAAGTACAAATAAGTAAAGAGCTGGATACCTTAAATTCCGAGTTAACTTCATCAAGACGATTGGAACTATCCATATACGGCTTGTACAATCATCCGCAGTATTTTTAACCATTGTGTGTGCCATTAAAAAATATTAAAAAAGTTGCCACGTAAAAAAAGCAACATTGGCCTTAACTTCGTACGCCGCAGTTTTTCTTATAAAAAATAGATCGCCTTCACGAATTAAATTAAATAAACAAGACAACTATAATACAATAATTACTTGGAACGAATGATAGTTTTGTAGCTTCTTTTTTGTAGGATTTATTTTTATTTTCTACAGCAAGGAGGTATTATTACCGCCTGGCCTAATTACAGGCGAAATTCCCTCACCAGTTGGATCCCACACTATGGGTGCCCAATAGCATAAAGACAACCATATAATAATGCCACAAATAATCACACTGAGGAAGGAGTATTTAGCCTGAAATAAAAACGACAAATTTACTTTCAGATTATAAAGTAGTCAACATATCTGAAATTGCAGACGGTTATAGGCATGTTACTCAGCTATTTTGGTGAATTTAGATTGCAGGTTGTTAGTTTGCCGATTTATAATAAAAAAAAACCTTTAGGAAGTAACCTACAAATGTTTACGTACCATAACCGACTTAGGAACTTTTCCAGTTGTATTACAAAAATATGCTGGTGTATAAAGAAATGGGCTCATAAATGTCATTGAACTGGCTACGCCCACGCCGAGGGCACCGATATAAACTCTCTTTGGCCATGGCACCGGGGCATCTGGTGCGACGGACTGCAAAAAATATTATTATTATTAATATAGCATACTATTTAATAAAAAAACACATTGGTAGAAACTGCAACAATACCTACACGAATACAAGCACCAAAAAAACAAAAAAAGCTATTGTCTATTCAATAGGTGAATATATCTAATGGTGCAATTTCTACCAATTCATTTTTAAACTTCAAAAAAATAAGCCACTTACCATATTGATAACAAAGGGTAAAAATATGCAACAGGAAGCGACGCCAGGCATCATATTGGCTAAGAAGATTGCGATGAACACAACAATGAAAAGTGACAAGCACCAAGCGTAATCTGTTAATAATTTCCCTGAACCTGCCGATATTTCCGTGTCTAGGCCAGTATCACGTATTGCTATATTCAATGCAACGCCCGAACCTAAAAAATAGGAATTTTAAAAACTTTACAGATTTATTACAATCTAGCTTTGGTTCGCGACTCTTTCCGCATAAAGTAAAAAGTGTAGCCATGTGTTGTTCCAGACTATCCTCTACATCCACGCCAACACAGGTTAAGATCTGTTCAGCTGTTTAGGCTACAAACTCTAACAAACATCCATACATTTAAACTTTCGCATTTTTAATATTAGTAAGATAGTCAATAATATTTCTTTATATATCGTGCATGTTTTCATAGATTTTGTACAGAAGAAGTATTTCCTGATAATGATTTGGCACGGAATACTTCTTTATTGGCAGAAAAAAACAAACCTACTGAAAAATCGAAATTCAAACGTGCTAAATGATTTTATTGATACACATATTTCTAAGATATTCTGTCCTAATGGAAAAGCAAATGGGACTGTACGCTACAAGAAGGTTGAGGGAACCTTTAAGTGTCCGTATTGCTTTCCTTAACAAAAACGATGTGATATACTCTGTCACAATGTTGTTTCACGCCAGCCGACATGTAATGGCCGAAAGTTATCATAAACCTTAAGATCACAGAGAGGAATAATTCAGTTTTGTGTAACATAATTAGTTCTAAGTTAAACAAAAAAAGCATTACCAAGCAAAAAGAAGTATCCATAATTTGTGTGTTTGTTAACAAAACGCCAAAAAAGAATCGCAGATTCTGGCTTCATTGTCAGTTGACTTTTTCCTGAAACAGATTTAGTAAAAATAGTTTATGTACCTAATTTTTTTTTATTTATTCGCAAGCTTCGATTGATTAAAATTTACTTTATGAAAATCAATAACATTTTTTTTAAATATCTAAATGTTTGCAAATCATAGTTTGTTCCGGAAACTTCACATTTAACAATAAATCATCTTACTTTTAGCGCTTAGAAATCTCATGAATCCGCATGTCCTTGGTAGTAAATGTAGTGCCATAAAGAATATTGCTGCAACTGTAGCGTCTTTGATACTGCAAATAAGATTAAAAACATATGTTTATTATAGCAATATCTCAAAATATGTCAAAATAAAACCTTTTTGTATTTAGGTTTCTTTTGCTAAAAAAGATTAGCAAAATCTAACGTCACATAATATTATCGCCAGATATACGTCTCCACTGAGGAGCTCAAAGCCTATCCTGAGTTAAGAGTGACTAGGTCACAGTCAAACACGCTGGCCCACCCCAATTTGGTTGATCACATATCTTTGAATTTCTTTGCCAATATGTGCAGGTTGCATTACGATGTTTTCCTATTCCGTAAGAACGTCGGGTATGTACGTAAGAAATTCGAGAATCACATTGGTACACGGCGAGATTCGAGCCCAGGAACAGTTGATTACAAATCAAGTCCCAAGTCAAATAGAAATATACTAAAATTAGCAGCAGATATTAACCCAGGAATAGACGGTGATATTGCTTCTCTTCGAAATGTTGACCAACCCATATTTAACCATACACACCAGCGGAAAATAAAAGTCAGCATTAACAATGTTGTGAAGAATACAGCCAGCTAGAAAAAATTAAAACATAAAATGATTTTGCTACCAATTTACACTGCCACATACAACTTAAAAGATACAACGGTAGTAGGAAAATAATGACCACGATACTAAAACCATTTCACAACTTTAACAATAGAGGGAGCTTATTACAATTTTGTGAAATATTTTTTACATATCTATATAGGGGAGATAGAACTAGTAGCTTATGTGTTTGAGCCACAGTTTTGTTTATAATTTTTGCTTTTCATGTCTTAAATATTTTAAAAAATAAACTAGTCGCTGAGTAAGTTAATAAAAAAGTGAATAAACATTTAGTATAAATTGAAAATTGCCTTTTCATGCGTGCCGATTTTAGGCGGCAAAATCTTCTTATGTTCAAGTAACAATTTCTTAACTTCAACCATATCATTATCACTAAAAGGTGCACCGGTACTCCTGAAAGAATAATCGAAATTAAAAAATAATATTGTTTTTTAATTCCAGCAATCAACTGAAACTGCTTTCAAAAACTCAACAAACACTATTTCCATATCCACCTAGCATTTAAACCCAGTTTATATTTTATTCCTAGCTACATCTGCGCCAAATTATAAAAAAAATGTATTGACCTAGATCCGTTTACCCGTTTGGATATATTTTCTAACAAATATCCACCGATCTATCTACATTTTTGCATTTATAATATTAATAAGGCTCTCTAGAGACAGGTTTTTTTTTTAATATCACAATAATCTTAGATCGCCCCATCAAAATATCTTGTTTGAGAAGTTAAGCTAATTATATTAAAAAAAAACAAATTTTTACCTGATGATAAGTGACATGTGATAAAATACGTTACACAAGAACATAACCAAAGCTGTAGGAATGGCATAGCAGCAATACTGCAAATAGTTAAAAATATCAGGGAACTCCATGCCTCTTGGGCCACTCCTGGAAATTAATGACAATGACTTTGTTACACACTATAAATTTTGCGGTTTTTATACTGTTTGTAAAGCAAAAAAATACTTTCAAAATAATCAAATTCACTATACTATCAACTATAACCTTTACCAATATAATCGGAACCATGACTAAAAATAACCTAAATTGAAATAAAGCCTTCTCTTAGTAACGAATATTTATTTACCAGTGAGCTGGTGATGATGATGAGATATGAAAATCAGATCAAATCAATCAAATCATCAGACTATACGTCCCCACTCAGAGGTTCGTAGCCTGCCTTAATAAGGGGGTGACTAGGCCTTAGTCAACCACGCTGGCCAAGTGCGGGTTGGTTGACATGTTATATTTTCATATGTACATCTTACTAATGGTTAAATAATTACCAAACAATCATATTCATTAAATACTCACACACTCCAAATGCCGCGGAAAAACAACGTGGCATACGACGCATGTGTGATACAAATGCTACCTGTAAATATAAAACAAAAAATGAAATGTAAAAAGAAATTATTTTCAAACTATAGTATTTATTACTGAGATCGAGAGAAACGGGATTGTTATATAAAAAGCTTAATCGTGGTATAAATTCCTTTCTTTTGAAATTGATGAATTAAGTTTGTTACAACATACCAATAGAAGAGGCTGTTTGAATCGCATTGTTCATGACATATTTCAAATTCTTAAAATTCGTGCCGCTTTTTGATTTCCCCTGAAAATTAAATTTCTATGTTATAAATGTGCCAGTAAAAACTAGTTGAAACATTTCTAAAGTTAAATGTCTATTTTTAATATGTTGTAAAAAAAAAATTACCAACCTGTAAATTTGTCAAAACAACTGTCATTATGTCTATAAGATTTGATGTCACAATAAACTTATTACAAACTGCTGACAGTAAAAATGCCGCTGTGCTAGCCTTGTAAACAAGTCTGCAAATTTATTTAGTAATACAATATATTATAAGAGCGCGCGCACACCTTTGACTAAACTATCGCACAACTGTTTAGTCACTCTTTGATTCCTATAAGCGTATATGGAGGTGCGCACACTACTTGATTTTAATTGTGCAACTAAACAGTTGAATTGGCTGCACAACAATCGACAATCGCACAACAGTTCTGCAATAGTTTAATAATAGGTGGGCGTCCGCTCTAAAAAAAACCTTATTATAGTTAGGAGCCTTAGTCAGGGAGCAGTGATAAACAATATTACCTGTTTGCAGTAAATTGACTTGAGTTACCGGAACAAAGAAACCAGAGAGCAATTCTTCGATCCACGCCAGCGTTGTTCATAAGTAAATGTACCATACTGCCTACTAGAAATAGACCTGTGATATCCTAAAACATTACAAACAACTATAAATATATTAGCAAAACAAAATAAAACATAATTCATATCGAAATCCATGTCTCCATAGAATAAGTTAGATCTCATGTGGGCCAATACTTGAGTTCACATATCTTTAAATTTCTTCGCAGATATTAATGGATGTTAGTTTTTTAATCAAATGTAAATGTCTTATACTAAAGACTATACTAGACTAGTGTTAAGGGACGAAGAGGGTGAAGGTAAAAAGACCGAAGAAAGTATGGACGGCCTGTGTGAAAAAAGATATGCTATAGGGAGTGGATGCATATAACGGCTGATAGAAATGTATGGGAGAGCATTACATACTATGCCGACCCTCCGTAGGGACAAGGGAAAGTTGAAGATATTAACGACTAGTACTCACATTAAAATAGCAATGACAAACAGCAACACTTCCCATCACACCACACATTGGAAGCACAAACAGTGGTATCAATCCACATGCCTGAATACTCGTCGGTTGCCAAAAGAACATCCATATCATGCACACCCACATAAGTATCACTGTTTTGTCGTGCTGAAACATGTACATATGAATTAACTTGTACGAATTAACAACTCGATTTTTTTTGTATCACATGCTATAAACTTATTTTGCTATTCGGTCACTTCAATGTTTATAGAGACAACATTGGGATTAGGAGTTGCAGTTTCATGCAAATATTTAAGAGAAGAGAGGATATGGATAAATAATATCTTTGAGCGAGAGGCCCCTGACTTTACAAGTCTCCCAAAGCAGTCTTCTTTCGTCAATATTTATGTCAAATAAATTTCAATATTTTGCTTTAAAATGACAGATGTCCTGAAAAGTGTAAATTATGAGTTGTGACTTGGAGATTCACAACCAAATTGTGTTTTGTTATAAAGTATAATTTCTATTTACATGTCCCAATTCGAAAAACCATGGTAAAATGATCACTGGCGGAAAGAAACCAATAAGACCTCGGAAATTGTTATAACCAGCATTTTTAAATCGATCCCCGACATCGACTATTGGTGTTTGAGCCGTGGATCTCCTGAAATGGCGGTATTCAGTTTAATGCTTATTAAAAGTTGTTTTTTAAAAACTTAAGAAATGTATAGTTTTATTCAAGTTAGTACTAACCTCCAAGAGAGAAATCTGAAAAAATATTACATTTCGTTAGTCAAATTTTAAGGTTTCATACAAATTGTTACATTGCTTTAGAATGTTTTAAATCAAGAAATTTACTTACCCGCCCATTGTGAAAAATAATATTATTTATTCAATGACATTTAACCGTAATCAATCAAATGAAATTTATATTTTGTTATAAAACGGATACGGCTACGAGTTTTTTAAAATTGGAATAATCGACTTTTAAATTCTAACGCATTAAGGTCTTCATGGTTATAAGAATTCTAAAATAGCAATAAAGTATTTACATGTAAGCATTACAAAACTATAGATAGGCACAATGCAAAATATCTGAATCTTATGAGTTACCTGTACATAGGTTTAAGTTAAAGAATTTGTTCAAAATGTTATTAAAACAACATTTACATAAATGGCAGTGTTTATTTAAGGAATTAACAATTAAAAATTTTATAACGTAGTTCACTTCTGTTTGTCCATAAATTCGGAAATCACTTCGCAGTCCACTCCTATCTATACATACAAATTATTAACTAGGGCTGTAGACAATTGTGCGACCAGGGTCACAGTCGCGGTATCACTTAACGATATGCTTTCAATGTTGTGACACCACATTTAAAATCAAACGGGTGTCGTCCTCCGATAAGGGTCGGTGCCGACGGCGCGGTCGTGTCGAGGCGGCTTGTCCCCGGCATTTGCTCGGGCACCCGCACCGAACGTCACCAACTCCTCTTCCCTCGAAGGCGGCGGTTCCACAGCCGAAGTATCGAGAAATCTGCCGCTAGCTATTGACGCTTGTGATTGAAATATCGATGCACTCCTCAAACCACTCA